TTTGTACTGATTTCAATTGAACCAACCATGTGGCATGTGTACTGTGTGTCGCTGGTCCCCAGCTCATTTACTTAAGACTAATGTCTGCTAGGAAGCCCCAGAAAAGTCAGTTTCAAAATATGCTAAGTGTTACTGTACCAGTCCTAGATGCAGTAGCCGAGATTTCATAATAGAGTAGTAATGTATGGTGACTTTCTCTCTCTGTTTGTTGTCACAGATGCCAGTGGATCCAGTTCAAGCACAATTACGCAATCTTCCTCCTCTCAGCTAGGGGCAAGCTCCGCCTCTAATCCTGGTCCAATTAGGGCATCTGTGCCAATGGTTAGGTGCAGTCGTATCATGCAGGTTCAGAGAGATTTACATCCTATTCTGCTATCTTCACTGGAAGGCATTGTAGATCAGGTCAGTCACACTGTGTGTTTTGGAAAGTAAATATTAAATCTGAGTAACCCAGGTCATGAAAACCTGTAAAACTCTGCACATATAATAGTCAACCTAAAAACCCTAACGTTGAGTACATAATCTACATCTGCTTCATTTTTATCATTGCATACTCATGATATCATCATCAGCCTTGTTTGTTTTCCCGATGAAATATTGTCTTGCTTGTTTCTTCTTGTCTGTGTTTGTCTATTTGGGTACTATGTACAGTCGAACCTCGTTAATAAGAGCACTGTTAATACAAGATTCTGCCTAAGACAAGGACAATTTTAGATTCCAAACCTTTGTTTTTCATTGTTTTTAATCCTGATAATGCAAGGTTCCTGTCATCAACAAGATTATTTGCCCAGTCCAAAGGACCCCTTAGTAACGAGTTTTGACTGTAATAACAAAGCAGTAGTTGAATATTTATGTTTTGTGTCCCATTGCCACTTATTGCAGCTTCCTTGATAGGAATACGGTTGGACATAATTTCTTCTCTGACTTCAACAACCATGGCAGGGAATCCTGACTGCTTGCATATTCCCATGTTGCTTTTAGGGCTAAAATGTCATGTTGCTAAGGCAGTGCTGTGGACTAGGTTATTATAGATTGCCATGTAAATAAATACACAGTTCTAATTGCTGGTTCTGGATTTTTCAATACTTTCTACCTCTAGAAAAATGCATTGAGTTTTGTATCACTGCAGATGTGAAGTGTTGTACAATATTTCCAATTGGCTGACCATGCCACATGCAGGTTGACGATTATGTACTTTAATAGGGACATTGACGCTAGGTACATAAGTCTGGTTTGATATTTGATAACATTACTTCAATCTGTGGGTAACAGAATGACAAATATTCAACCAAGTGCCTTTTTCAATGTCAGCTGATCTATGTAGAAATAAAGATTGTCTGAGGTATGGTGTTCTATTTACAGATGGTATGGTTTAGAGAGACTTGGAATGAAGAGGTTTTGAGACAGCTACGACTAGCACTGGCCAAATGTCAAGCAGTTGCCTTTGAGAATAGAGGAGCAGGTAATGTATGCAGTGACTTATTCTGTGCATGAATAAGCCAAGGGTGTTTTGTTACCTAGCTCGGACTTCCTTTTGGACAATACCACAGGCTGTTGTTGATACATGTTAGTTGCATGCTGTGCCTTGATGATTTCACCTATGAACATGCTTGTCAGGGAAGGCAAGTAGGCAGACTGTGTTTGTCTCTCCATTAACGCTCTAACTTCAACCAATGCAGAACTTGTTACTACTCAGTTGTCCAATTCAGTCCCAAAAGACCTGGAAACAAAGTAAGCCATGTCTCCATCAGGCTTTGAATATTGTATATCGCATTTTTCTCTTTTTGTCCAAACAGTCGCAGAGGCAAAGGTTACTCCACACACTCTCAGCTTCATCAAAAAACTAGTCACCACCTTTGGTGTTGGTATAGAGAATGTTAGCAGTGTGGCAACCACTTTTTCTAGTGCTGCATCTGAGTCACTGGCCAAGCGTGTCCAAGCTACCACCCAGGATCCAGATTTCCAGAAACTTAAGCCACAGTTCACAACTGACTTTGATTTCTCCCTGCCTGGTGCTATGAAGCTGCATAATCTGATCTCCAAGCTGAAAAAATGGATCAAGGTGATGGAAACAAGAGCCAAGCTGCTACCAAAGTGAGTAAAAGGATTTGGAGAGGGTCCCTGGAATCTCAGTCTTGTTAGGTTAAAGTTGGAGGGAGTGTGGCCTAGTGGTTCAGTGAGTCAAGGGTTCCAACGCAGCTTCAGGTCGTGTTTTGTGTCCTTGGGCAAGCCATTTTACCTGCACTGCCCCTCGTCACCTAGGCTGAAATGGCACTGGCGTTAGCAGAGGGGTTATTTGTAATTGGTTTGAATCCTATCCTATCAGCCATGTATTTGCTTAGGGCAGACTTTACTTTGGCTAAGTGTTTTTTCATTGAAGTAAGATAGTATGAAGTTGAAATTTTGACCACTTGTGTAGAGTAGGTAATTATTAAATTTGACAACTAAAACAAATGGTGCTTCAAAAACTTTTCAATCTTGAACTACCTAGATATTATTACTGGGGATTTCTGTACTGTAGAATATTAGGAACATTGGGTGACCACTGAAACAAAGATCACTGGGGCTTCTCTATTTTCAGTCTGAAAATCTTAACAAACCTTATGACCTTTAAAAGATTTGACAACAGAAGGTACTCCATATACATGTGTACTGATCTTTTGGTTTCATTAATTCATTTCTTTCTTGAAGATTCTTCTTGATTGAAGAATACTGCCGCTTTCTGAGCAACTTTTCCTCCAGCACAGCAGACGTTGAGTTGCCTGGTGAATACTTGACACCACGACACAGTCATTACAGCGTCAAGATTGCCCGCTTTATGCCCAGGGTAGAAATAGTCCATAAACACAACACAGCAGCTAGAAGGCTGTACATCAGGGGAAGCAATGGAAAGGTATGCTTACCACATTGAGCGTCTTTCATTTGCTTGGCTTTCCATTGATATCTGATAGTCAGGAGCTGTAAACCCCTTTGATTTACAGTGAATTAGGCAATTGTCTGATATAGTTCATTTGATGATAGGTAACAAAACCTGTCCTGTCTTTAGTAATCCCTGACTGCCATTTCTCAGGTTTTCTTCATTGTTGGTAGATTTATGAATATGGAGCTAATCTCTGGCCATGGGTTTATGATCTGTGGTCCCCCAAAACAAAGACCTTGCTCAAATTAGGAGACTGCCAGCATTTGGGAGGGAGGTCATGATAGAATGGTACTGCAAAGCTCCAGGGTTTGCAGCTCAAGTCCTCCTGTTTCTTTAACGTAAAATTGCGGTGATACAGTTGGTTTGTATTTATAGTTCATTTCATATTTATTGTGTTAGTTTAACAAAATAGTGCAAACTGTATTGATAGTATGAAGTTTGCCAAAAATTGTTTTTTCATCTCATTGGTGAGTGAGTTATCCCTACTGAGTGATTGTTGCACTCATATGTAACCTTTGCTTTGGTTTCAGATCTACCCTTACCTGGTTGTCAATGATGCATCAATGGGAGAATCTCGTAGAGAAGAACGTGTATTGCAGCTTCTTAGAATGCTCAATATCTTCCTGGCCAAAAGAAAGGTACATGATGAAACTAAGCCATCTCTTTTTCTTGTTTTAATCCAGCTTGTCGATATGTTGTCTTTTAGCCAAGTCCAAGACTATGTTTTGTCTTTTAGCCAAGTCCTTTAGTAGGAGACTATGTTTTGCTTATCCTCTGGCAGAGCATTTTTGTGAAGGGAACTGAAATGTCATGAGGCCATTTTAAAGTAGAAATTAGTCAAAAGTTCATATGTTTCCAACCATCTTAATTTGTCAGTTTTACCTTTTGTTTGATCAAACACCCTTCTAAGCCATGTCTAGGCTAAGTGCCTTGCATGTGCGCTAAAAAATCTCTGTACATATAAATTGACGCACGTGGTATGTGCTGTCTTGTGACACACAGAATGCCGCTGAGCTAGTCTGGAGTGAAATTCTCACTCTATAAAATGCAGACTTATTGCTGAAATTAGTACATGTCTACATAATCATGATGAATGTCATGTATGAGTGGTAGAGTCCATAAAACAGGTATCAGACTTGCACATGAATCCAGGAAAGTGTTTAAAACAGTTGGTAGCTTTGTCATCTGTTAAAAACCATCATATGACCTGCTTTCTACCACTAGGATTGGATGAACTTTCCGAGGTACATGTATTTATGAGTGTTTATTGATACAGTTCTTACTGAAATGACTAGGCACTCAACTATTTCTTGAGCTCA